AGTTCATCTTCAGGTATATTTGATAACTGATACCAGACGTACTTAGCAGCTGCATAAGTAGAGAACTCCTTCCAAGGGGCACAGCTAGCTTTGTCCATGTCACCCCAATCAGCAATTGCTTTGATGACTATACCCTCAAATTCCTCTGGCTTCCCTAAAATAGCAGCTGCTTCCATTTCACCTCCAAGTGCTTGTGGAACTTGACGTTGTATTTCATCTTTTTGCTGTTGGCTGGTGTTGAGTGAAGACTCAGTGACTAATATATCTTCTCCTGTCAAGACATTAACATCGTAATTGATTCCATCGCCTACTAAAGTGAATCCGTGATGATTCTTTAATATGTCATATAGCGTTTTCCCGCTATGGTAATCTTCAGTTTTGAGTTCACTGTTACCGCCATCCTTGTATCTTGCAATTGATATTTCTTTCACTCTTTTTGCTACAAGAATGGATCCAAACTTAGTCTTCTTTTTGCCTTCTTTCATGCCATAGCAGATACCAACTGCAATGACATATTGAGCTTTCACTACTTTTTGAATCTTCTGGAGCTCTTCTGAAGTGACCTCTTTACCTTGTTCAGTGCGTATGATGGCAACTTTGTACTTTCCATACATTGCAATGTAGAACGTGATTCCTTCTGACCTTGTTTGTGTATATTTCTCTCCATTTATTGGTGTAGCCTGTCCCATTACAGCATTGAACTCAACATCAGTGGCTGTAACAAGAACGATATTAATATCTTTCACAAGATCATCAGTAAATGGCTCATTTTGAATTTTATCTTTAAGCTCTGGACAATATTTGCTGACATCTGGAGGTGGATTTGACCCTAATTATTATGTATGAAACTATGAAACTATTAAATTATTCTAAAATACTTTGATCATCACTTTTACTCTTGTCTTTGGCAGCTGCTGTGCTACTATGTGGTTCTCTGTCAATGCAATGATATAGTGTAATTATATTCTTACTTTGGAGCAGTCTCTTCTTTTTCAGCACTTGCTTGTGTTGCCCCACTGCTCTCTGCCAAAAATGAGTCAATAGTTTATTCTTATGATCAATCCTTACCTATATATTCCAGAAGATTAGATTTTGCTCTGCCCAGTTGATCAGGAAAGTCATCACACAGTCTTATTAATATATCCCAATTGACATCTCTATCAGCATCAAACCACCTCTGGAATATCAAATGAAGTTTGGTATTTGCTGTGCCTTGCATTTCTATCAGATCAGCTGTATTTACATTCAACCCAGCCCCTATTGTCATGTAATGGTGAACAGAAGAACCAAATATCTTTTTGACAGCAGCCAAATCAGGTTTTTTGTCTATTAATAATAAAAGTGAATAATTTTATTATCAAGCATAATCTACCATGCTTAAAGTTAGGGACTGGCCTTTTTTAATACAGCTGAAGTAATGTGCATTAATCATACTAGCAGCTGGCTTAAAAGTAACATATTTTGTGTTTTTACTTGTTGCCATTAATCACAATGCATCAGATAGTGCTAGAGGTTAAATGCATGCATGTGATGCACAATGATGGGCATGCCACTGTTGTAGTGTGTATTAAGTAGTTTGAAAGTTTGAATCACTCTAGAACTAGGTCATTAATTCTAAGGCCATAAATTTCACCTCCACCAAGTGGTAGATATCAGTGTTTACCTGTTATAGGACCAGGATTGAGTTCAACATCTCCTGATAAGAGGAGGAACATATGTAGACAAACAAGTGAATTGCAAGTCAAGTTAGTAACACCAGTAGTACATTGTACTTGGTACTGAGCACTGAGTTACCTAATAATAAAATACCAGTAAATATACAAGTACAAAGTTGCAATTGTTGTTTACCTGTTGGACGAATCATCAAGATGTGTCTTAATAAAGAGAGAGAGAAAGAGGAGGAGGACAGTGCCACTGGCAGAGCTAATAGGCTGATGAGTGAGAGAAATTATTAGAGCTGGCAGCTGCTAACTATAGATAGGAAACCATACAGTCTAGATCTGCACTTGATATTATTTATACAGGTCTATAGTGCAGTGCAGTGTATGCCTGAAGGGATGGGCTGTGGTTTTACATTTCCTCTCTTTTATTGATTGCAGCTAAAATTAATGACTAAAACATTTTAAAACACACAGCTATGGCTATTTAAGCAATATTATTTTAGTTCACTAAATATTAATAATTAACTCTAAAATTTAACAATGTTTAGTTCACTACATGTAAATATCCTAATGTCATGAATCAATTGATATCTGGCATGTCTTCTTCATCTTCATCTTCCACTTTTAATTTCTTGACATTATTTTGTCTAAATAGTAGATAGGAAATATGGGTAATAGCTAGTAGCCAACATTGTTACTTGCACTCATAATACTCTACTTATTTTTATTTACCTTGTAACAGTTTCTGCCAATTCTTTCTTATCTTTTTCTGCACCTGCAGAGACATGATGTTAAATTTAGTTGCAATTCAATTATTACTTATTATAAGTAAACATCAGTATGGCATTTATGCACATCATGAACCATTATCATAGACTCTTGGCAATAATAGCTAAATTAATGTTAAGCTTCTAGATCTATAAGTTACCTATATGTGCCAGAAGATTAGATTTTGCTTTGCCTAGTTTATCAGGAAAGTCATCACAAAGTTTCATTAATCTACCCCAACTAACATCTCTATCAGCATCAAACCACCTCTGGAATACCAAATTAAGATTGGTACTTGCTGTTCCTGGTATTGGTTTGAGATCAGTCGTCTTTACATTCAATCCAGCCCCTATTGTCATGTAATGGTCATCAGAAGAACCAAATATCTTTATGACTGCTGCCATATCAAGCTCCTTGCCTATATATTAAATGAAAATATTTATAATAGAAGCATAACTTTTCACTACTCTACCATCATGGTAGAGTACCATCAGCTGTTGTTTACCTGTTATA